CTGTCAGGGGCCGTGGACAGCACAGGCTGCATCCGTGCGCACACTGCACTGAGGAAGCTGAGCACGAGGACTGGGGTCCACGTGGAGCCAGCAGGGTCGGGCAGGCCTGAGGCCCACGTCAAGTCTTCCTGTCCAGGTCTGTGTGTAAAGTAAGTTTCCAGTGCTGGTCATTTTGACAGCTCCAGCTCCGTCTCAGCAGCATGTAAGGCCACCTTTGCACCTGGAGATGCGGCCCGGTTAGGCCACAGTCACATTGTGTTCATTTTATAATGAAAAGGGTTGTAACTGATGTTATGCATGTGTCTTTTAAAATTACATAATACTCAGAGGGCTCATAGACCAAGAAAATTCATATTAATTTTTTTCTCCAACCTGGGAAGACACAATGCTAGCCTGCCCAGTCCCTTCTTCGCAGGCCCAGCTGACTCGTCCACAAGGTTCCAAGAGTAGCAACAGACTGGGATCTTGACTCTGCACCCTTGCATTTTACGACTTCACATTCAGCAGCCCCTGTCCTGTCTCAGTGGGCATGCCCACTGGTGGTCCCTGCTCTGCAGCCAGGCCTCTGCATGCCTGTGGCTATTGGGCCTCAACTCTGCTGCCCTATCTCCCCATGTATATACAGGCCTGTCTCTGAGAACAGTCTCCCCACCCGGTTGTCAGCTCAGATCCCCAGGGCGAGACCCTGGCTTTTCAGTATTGAGAGAGGGCTCCCCGGTGCCCTTGGTGCATTGCTCTGAGGCACCCACGTCTCTCCCCTTCTTCCTCTTTTGGCTTTTTTTTTTTTTTGCCAGTCCTGGGGCTTGAACTCAGGGCCTAGACACTGAGCTTCCTTTGCTCAAGGCTAGCACTCTACCACTTGAGCCACAGCACCACTTCCAGCCTTTTCTGTGGATGTGATACTACTGAGGAATCGAACCCAGGGCTTCATGCATGCTAGGCAAGCACTCTACCATGGAGCCACCTTCCCAGCCCCTCCACTGGCTTCTTGCATCAACCAGAGCCACAGAGCCTTTAAGGCTATATGTGGTCTTCCCTAGCCTGTGCTGTGGCCAGGTCCTGAGTCCTAAGAGCCTGGATCTGGCCACCCGGCACCCCGCCGCTGTGACCCAGCCCTGCACCAGGCTGGACCCAACCCTGAGGTGCACAGAGATGGGTGCTGGCTTGCTCACCCTCTCCTTGTCCTCTCCTCATGGGCTGGGCTCCAGGCTGGGCTTCACCCTCACTGGTAGATCCTGCAGGCACCAAGTACATACAGCGGGTAGCCTGCCACCTCCAACCCCAGGGGTTCAGCGGGAGCTGGAGCTGCATTCAAGTCCACAGCAGGGTCCCCATGGCCGGCTGCCTGCGCCCTGAGGTGGGAGCCGCCGCCTGCACTGGTGTCCTGCCTCTGCCGGCCCCTCCCCTGCTGCGGCACAGGGCGGCCCCTCGGCCACCCACGTCTGGGCGTGGCACCCTGCGGAGACCTCACCTCCCGGGAGCGTCCTGGACCAGGCCCAGTGCAGGACACACTTCCTCACCCCAGCACGAGAGCCAGGTCCACCCTCTGCTGACACAGGCCTGCCAAGACCTGGGTTAGAAGTGTGTAGGGGAAATCAGATCTCATTAAATGATGACACCTTGATAGTATAGTTGTCATTCCTAGAGGCAAAGCAAGAAGGAAGTGAGGAAAGCTGGGAGAGAGACAAGGCCCAGCTTCTGTGAGTGTGCTGTGGCCGCCTCTAGGGGTCAGGAGGTGCCGGGGTCCCCGGGCAAAAACCCTGGGAGTAGATCCTGAGTCACCTCAGCCTAATGGCTGTGCTCTGTGGTCTCCTGTCATCACAGGAGAATAGTCCTGTCATGTCTCATCCAGCTCCTCCCCTCCCCTCCCCTTTTCCCCTTCCCCTCCCCTCCTGCTCCCCTTTCCTGTCTACCCCTCCCCTCCCCTCGCTCCCCTCTCCTCTTTTTCTCTTCCCTTTCCTTTTTCTTTATGTGAGAAGTTCAAGCAAAACAAAGGTGATGAGAAAATAATGAAAGAGCAGATGTTAGTGAGATAGACAACAAACACACCAAACATGAGACAACTAGTAAAGACAAAAACTGGCTCTGACAAGACTACTACAGATGGCAAACTTCTGACGTAAGAATTCAGCAACAGGTGCAATATAGATTAGGAAAACCACTAAACACAAGCAACACACTTCTAGGAAGATGACTGAACAACACTGATTCCAGACACAGAGGATTTGGAGTTACTCTGAGGAAACAGAACCAGAGTTAGAGCCTCAGATAAAACAGCAGGCTGGTCTGTGAATCCTACGGAATGTGCACAGTGTAAGTTCTCTGGGAACAATGTAGAGTTGTTGAAGTTCTTACCTGTTCTGCACATGAACCCTTTTTCTGACATTATTGCCAGGTAGCAATATGCTAATATTTCTAATTTACTTGGTGGTTCTTTTGATGTATAGAATTTCTTAGATCTAGCCGGGCGCTGGTGGCTCACGCCTGTAATCCTAGCTACTCAGGAGGCTGAGATCTGAGGATCGCGGTTCAAAGCCAGCCCAGGCAGGAGAGACCGTGAGACTCCTATCTCCAATAAACCACCAGAAAACCGGAAGTGGCGCTGTAGCTCAAGCGGTAGAGCGCTCGCCTTGAGCTGAAGAGATGAGGGACAGCGCCCAGGCCCAGAGTTCAAACCCCACGGCCAACAAAAAAAAATAATAATAATTTCTTAGATCTATTGTACTATAAATTTTGTATTTTTTTTATTTTACCTATCTTTAAGTAGTTGTACAAAGGAGTTGGCATTTAACAAAGAAGTTTATAAATACATCCTGATCAATGTCAACCCTTCCAAAGCACACCCCCATCTCTCCCCTCCACCTCTTCCTCACTCTTCTTTTTTTTTTTTTTTTGTCTTTTCTTTTTTGGTACTGGGGATCGAACCCAGGACGTTGCGCTTGCTAGGCAAGCGCTTTGCCACTGAGCTACATCCCAGCCCACTCTTCTTAATTTTCTACGATTTACACTGGATTCTTGATTCCATTCCCTCCCTCTTTTCATTTGTCTACCTCTTTTCCCTTGACCCCACCCCACCGCCTTCCATTACCGCTAGTTTGTCATTTTTGCTAGGTTTATTTGAATGTGCTAGAGCCAGGGCTTGAACTAAGGGCTTCACAATCAGTCTGTTGCACATGACTAGTGCTTTTTACTTTTTGAGCTACATCTTCGGCCTGGCTTTTTGTTGGTTAATTGGAGATTGAAGCTCAAAGGTTTTTCTGCTTGGTCTGGCTTCAAACGGCAATTCTCCAGGTCTGCAGTCTCATGAGAGCTGGGATTACAGGTAGACCATTTATGTCTGGGTTTGCTTTGTTTTCAGGTCCTTGGGAAGCTCTCTTGCAGTCACTGAGGTTCTGATAGTGCCCTTCTGCCTGTTTTTTTTCAGGTTTGCTATGAATATATTCTCCTGTGTCCCTGCTAATATTTGGGGGGGGGGTTGTGGGGTTTTCTTTGTTGGTCGTGGGCCTTGAACTCTGGGCCTGCGCATTGTCCCTCAGCTCTTCAGCTCAAGGCGAGCGCTCTACCACTTGAGCTATAGCGCCACTTCCGGTTTTCTGGTGGTTTATTGGAGATAGGAGTCTCACGGTCTCTCCTGCCCGGGCTGGCTTTGAACCACGATCCTCAGATCTCAGCCTTCTGAGTAGCTAGGATTACAGGCGTGAGCCACCAGCGCCTGGCCTCACCTTTAGTTTTAGAATCAGCTTCTCAGGTTATACACATAGCAGGCTTCTTCCACCCCAATCCTGGGGCTTGAACTCAGGGCCTGGGAGCTGCTCTGTTTGCTCAAGGGTAGTACTCTACCCACAGCTCCACTTCCAGCTTTTTTGTGGTTAATTGGAGACAAGAATTTTACAGTCTTTCCTGCTGTGGCTGGCTTTGAACTGAGATCTTCAGATCACAGCCTCCTAAGTAGCTGGGATTACAGGTGTGAGCCATGGGTGCCCAGTCCATGGTAGGCTTTTGTCAAGAATTTGATACCGTCAATAAATTGGTTAGGAAAAATATACATCTTTTTGATATTGAACTTCCAACACATAAACAATATACCTGTTTACTAACTAGGGTCTTTTTGTTTGTTTTTGTCGGTCGTGGGGCTTGAACTCTGGGCCTGGGCACTGTCCCTCAGCTCTTTAGCTCAAGGTGAGTGCTCTACCACTTGAGCCACAGCACCACTTCCCGCTTTTTCCGCTTATGTGGTGCTGAGGAATCGAACCCAGGGCCTCATGCTTGCAAGGCAAGCGCTCTACCACTGAGCCACCTTCTCAGCCCCTCTAACTAGGGTCATTTTTAAGCTTACTGCATTTATATCGTATTTATTCTGATGTGTTTAGCTGTTTACATACTAAGTAAAAGATTCTATTTTAAAGTTACACTTCAGTTGCTCTGTTTAGAAATGAAGTTCCCTTTGTATGCTTCATTCATTCATTCATTCATTCATTATTAGAGGTACTAGTGTTTGGACCGGGGGCCTTATACCTGCTAGGCAAGCACTATGCCACTTGATCCACATCTCCAATCCTATATACTTAATTAATACATGGCAACATTGCTAAGTTTTCTTTCTTTTTTTTTTTTTTGGTCGTCGTGGGGCTTGAACTCTGGGCTTGGGCGCTGTCCCTGCACTCTTTAGCTCAAGGCGAGCGCTCTACTGCTTGAGCCACAGCACCACTTCTGGTTTTCTAGTGGTTCATTGGAGATAAGAGTCTCACAGATTTTTCTTCCGGGGGCCGGCTTGGAACCGTGATCCTCAGATCTCAGCCTCCTGAGTAGCTAGGATTACAGGCCTGAACCACCAGCGCCCGGCCTAATTGCTAAGTTTTCTGATTGGGAGTCTAATTTGTTAGACATATTGAGAATTATTTTTCATTTTTTCCCAATCTCTAAGTTTTTTATTTCTCTCATCTTTTCATGCAAGCTGAGATGTACTGGACTAGCTCCTACCACACCACACAAGTCGAAACATGACGGTGGGAAGCCTCCATTCTTTGTTTTCAGTAAAATACTTCCAACTTTTCACCATTACGATAGGATGCTTACCACGCTCTTTAAATAGAACATATGCCCTTTGTCTGCCAGGACTTGCCCTCCAGTCTTAATTTCCAGGCGTCTTTGTTCGAGCAGCGATCAGCTCAGTAAGTGCTTTGGCAGGGGATGACCCACTTTTCTTCTTTGGCATGTTACAAGGCTGGCTTCCTCTAATGGCTTTCTGGAGTTCAAAGCTCCTTGTTCCTATGTGAATTAAGCATGACGATGAGTAGTGTTAGCATTACGCCCACTTTTGGTCCTCAGTTCCACACAGCCCTGAGTCCCTCCCATCCCCGGAGTTCCCGCCCTACAGCTGGCCCCTCTTTCTCTCTGCCCAGACGCACCTGAGCTCCCATCTACCTTACTTCCTGCCCCCAGACCCTCTGCTACCTGAATAGGGACAGACGCCATGTGCTCCCTCTCCTGGGGATGTGGCCCCTCTGATTCCTTACATGTTCCTCCCGTGCCTGCCTGCCTCTGCGTGGGCCCTGGAGGGTCCTGAGGTTCAAGGGTCCTCCACACACCTCACGGAAGTCTGGCTGCTCACCGTCTGTCCAGGTTCCTCAGCTGAGCTTCTTCCTGCAGTGGCTACCGAGGCTATCTGCCACTGTTCTTCCCAGGTTCAGATGTCTGGGTTGTGCGTGCCAGTCTTACAAACCAGCTAGGAGCTGTGCCTCCTACCAAGAGAACCACACCAGCATTCACTGGGAGCCTTCCGGAACAGCAGGAAGCAGGCAGGAACACAAGTCTCCAACACACAAGCATGAAAGAATAAACTGTTACATAACAAATCAATCTATGTGGTGACAGCAAACGATCCACCCCACATGCAGCAACTTGGTATCTCGCACACGCTCACACTCACAGGCACGAGCAGGGCCATGGTGCGTGGTTCATGTCACGGTCACTTGCACACGCTCATGCTCACACTGCAAGATGCTGCTCACTCCCATGCTCACCCGCACGGACCCGCAGTTCGTGGCTTCCCGGATGGTGGGGACGCACGCCAGCTAGGCAGGGCTCAGTGAAGCTGGGAGGGTTGGGCGGCGTGGGCGCCGTCTCCGTGGCCCGGGCGGCGCCCCGTGCTCCAGCCGCACCCCAGGCCCTCAGGCCACGCGGGCCCCGCTTCCCTTCTCCACGGGGTGGCGGTGCTCCCCCTGCCAAGGGAGCACGGAGAGCCGGGCCTGCAGCAGATCCGGAGGCTGCAGGGCAAATCCCAGGCCCAGGCCAGCCGCCACTCTGGGCAGCTCTCACCTTCTGTGCTGAAATGCGACTCTGTGTGCCAAGCATGTGTGCACACACGCGCAGGTGTGTGAACACATGTGCATACGTACACATGCCTAAGCGCATGCACACACACGAGGGTAGCATTGTGCATGTATGCCTGTGTGTGCCGGTGTGCATTACTCATGTATGTGAATGTGCACATGTATGTGGGTGTTAGTGCACACGTGTGCACATAGTATATGCATGTGTGTGCCCGTGTGTGCACATTTGCATGTACTCATGTGAGTGCACATGTATATTGGGTATGTGCTAATGCACATGTGTGCACATATTACAGGCATGTGTGCCTGTGTGTGCACATGAGTACATACTCATGTGCGTGCACATGTGTTTGTGGGTATTAGTGCACACATGCATGCACATTGTGTATGCATGTGTGTGCATGTACTCATGTATGTATGTGTGCATGCGCGTGAGTTTGTGTGTGTTGGTAATGGGACTTGAAATCAAGGTTCTTGGCTTGTTCCCTTGATACCACTTGAGCCGTATCTTGAGTTCCAGACTTTTGATGGTTCCTTGGAGATAAGACTTTTTGGACTAGGCTGGCCTTGAATCAGGATTCTCAGATCTACGCCTTCTGAACAGGTAGGGTTACAGGTGTGAGCCACTGGTGCCCTGTGTAACGCACTTATTTTCTTATATTTTGGCTGTAACTTTTTTTAGTCCTATGACCCACAAGCTCTACCCCTCTTCTCCCTGTGTGTCGGTGGACAGCACGCACACAGTTACTCAGCTCAGCCTCCTCCACCTCACGGGGCAGACCCAGCACACTCAACAGTTTAGACGGCTCTGATGTAGTCACACAGTCATACCTACGACCTCTCTGTAAACCTTCCGCTGCTAGCAGCAGTCAGAACTCTGAAGGCCTCCCTATTTTTCTCTGCAATAGGTCAGCTAAGAGTCTCCCCTTCTACTTGGAGAAGTGAACCCTGACTGTTTGGGACAACCCCGGGCCAGCTTCACGGGTGTTGGCTGTCTTGTCTGCTTTGGCGAGGGTGGCCAAAGAGGGGTTAGAAAAAAGTTTTAAAGGCTGGGAAAGTGGCTCAGTGGTAGAATGCTTGCCTTTCATGCATGAGGTCCTGGGTTCGATTCCTTAGCACCACATGAGCAGGAAATAAAAAGCCAGAAGTGGCACTGTGGGAAGGGATGGGAAGGGATGGGAAGGGGAAACAAAGGAGGAGGCTACAATGCTTGATAAGAAATGTACTCATTATCTTGCCCATGTAATTGTAACCCCTCTGTACAGTATTTTCACAATTAAAAAAAAAAAGATAACCACTTCCAAGATTTACTGTGAAAAAAAAAATCCAGAAGTGGCGCTGTGGCTCAAGTGGTAGAGCGCTAGCCTTGAGCTGAAGAGTTGAGGGACAGCTCCCAGGCCCAGAGTTCAAGCCCCACGAACCACAAAAAAGAAAAAAAAATAATTAATTTTGCTGGGCACCAGTGGCTCACGCCTGTCATCCTAGCTACTCAAGAGGCTGAGATCTGAGGATCACGGTTCAAAGCCAGCCCGGGCAGGAAAGTCTGTGAGACTCTTATCTCTAATAAAGCACCAGAAAACTGGAAGTGGCGCTGTAGCTCAATTGGTAGAGTGCTAACCTTGAGCTGAAGAGCTGAGGGACAGCGCCCAGGCCCAGAGTTCAAGCCCCACGACTGAAAAAAAAAAAAAAAAGCTTTAAGACTCGGCCGGGCGCCTGTCATCCTAGCTACTCAGGAGGCTGAGATCTGAGAATCACAGTTCAAAGCCAGCCCAGGCAGGAAACTCCATGATACTTATCTCCAATAAACCACTCAGAAAACCAGATGTGAAGCTGTGGCTCAAGTGGAAGGGTGCTAGCCTTGAGTAACGAAGCTCAGGACAGAGCCCAGGGTCTGACTCCAAGCCCCAGAACCAGCACCAAAAAAAGAAAGAAAGGGGGGGGGGAGGGAGAACAGAGACAGAGGGGGAGAGAGAGGGAAGTAGGGAGGGGCTGGGAAGGTGGTTTAGTGGTAGAGTGCTTGCCTTGCATGCATGAGGCCCTGGGTTCGATTCCTCAACACCACATAAGCAGAAAAAGCCGGAAGTGGTGCTGTGGCTCAAGTGGTAGAGCTCTTGCCTTGAGCTGAAGAGCTGAGGGACAGCGCCCAGGCCCAGAGTTCAGGTCCCACGATTGACAAAAAGAAAAATGTTTAAGACTCCTGAAAAAAATAATAAAGACACTTTCATTATAAAAGGGTATTATAAGGCTAGGCACATATGGCTCATATCTGTTTTGGGTCCGGTCGTGGGGCCTGAACTCTGGGCCTGGGCGCTGTCCCTCAGCTCTTCAGCTCAAGGCTAGCGCTCTACCATTTGAGCCACAGCGCCACTTCCAGCTTTTTTTTTTCGGCTTACGTGGTGCTGAGGAATCGAACCCAGGGCCTCATGCATGCAAGGCAAGCGCTCTACCACTGAGCCACCTTCCCAGCCCATGGCTCATATCTGTAATCCTAGCTACTTAGGAAACAAAGATCAGAGGATCTTAGTTCAAAGCCAGCCTGGGCAGAAAAATTTATAGGACCTGTCTCCAATTAACAAGCAAAAAAGCCAGACTGAAGGCATGGCTCAAGTAGTAAAGTGCCAGCTGTAAGTGGAAAAGCCAAGCAAGGGCATGAAGCACTGAGTTCAAACCCTAGTATCAGTGTGTGCGTGTGCTCTGTGCATCACCTTTATAATAACAATAAATAAAAAGTAGATATTTCTTGATATTCCTTTTATGCCGTCCCTTCCTTCTTGTTTGAGATGGTCGTATAGAGATAATGCCTGGGGGAGGGCAGCCTCTTGGCGCACAAGGCCACCAGCACGAAGGCAACAAGTGTATGTGAGATGGGCTGCTCCCGAAGCAAACTCATCATCAAGTGTATTGTGTAAGCTATTGCTAGTAAAACTGGGCTGCTGGCCTCTAACTCCCTCCTGAGTGACCTGGACCAGTGTCCTGCCATCACCGTCCGGGCTGTGTGAATGAGCACAGGTCACATGCCAGCACGCACTGCCCCGTCTCCACATCTGTCCTTACTGCCCCCGTTTGGTCTTCCTGTCCACCCCAGGACCTCTCCTGTCCTAGAAGGGGTCTTCTCTGCCCTGAGGGTATGTGTTAGTTAGCTCCCTGTTGCTGACAAATTTCTGAAGACAACTTAAAGGAGGAAAGTTTTTACTTTTTTTTCTTCTCAATACTGGAGTTGATCTTTTTTTTAGGCAGGTACTCTACCACTTGAGTCACACCACTAGCCCTTTTTATTTTATTTTTTTTTCAAATAGGATCTTGTGTCTATACTGGGGCTGGCCTGGACCTCAATCCTAATGACACTAGTTGGCCACCACATCCAGGTTTTATTGGCTGAGATGGGGTCTCTCTAACTTTTTGTCTGGACTGGCCTTGATCTATTTTTTTTCCAGTCCTGGGGCTTGAACTCAAGACCTGCACACTGTCCCTGAGCTTCTTTTGCTCAAGGGTAGCTCTACCACTTGAGCCACAGTGCTACTTCTGGCTTTTTCTGTGTATGTGGCACTGAGGAATGGAACCCAGGGCTTCAGGCATGCTAGGCAAGAACTCTACCACTGAGCCACCTTCCCCGCCCTGGCCTGAACTTCCTCCTCTTCCTCCTCCTCCTCTTCTTCCTCCTCCTCCTCCTTCTTCCTCTTCCTCCTCTTCTTCCTCTTCCTCCTCTTCCTCCTCCCCTTCCTCCTCTTCCTCTTCTGTCAGTCATGGGGCTTGAACTCTGGGCCTATGTGCTGTCCCTCAGCTCCTCAGCTCAAGGTTAGCACTCTACCACTTGAGCTACAGCACCACTTCCGGTTTTCTCCTGGTTTATTGGAGATAAGAGTTTCACAGAGTTTCCGGGCTGGCTTTGAACCATGATCCTCAGATCTTAGCCTCCTGAGTAGCTAGGATTACAGGAGTGAGCCACCGGCACCTGCCCTGGCCTGAACTTCTATCTCTGCTTCCTGAGTAGTTAGAATCACAGTCTTGAGCTCCCATCACACCTGGCACCTTCTAGAAGTCCACGCTGTCATGGTATGGGTGAAGCAGGACAGCATGACAGAGAGAAAATGAAGGGGTTCCATTACTTTCCAACAGCCCACTCCATGGATTATGAGGTCATAGCTGTCATGATTTCTTCCCTTCTGAATAGTGCTGCACTGGGAACAAAGCCTGCAATGTGAGCCTTGGGGGCAGCTTAGGTCCACGCCAGAGCAGGGTAGAAAGGCTTCCAACAGGTTGGTGGCCCTGTTTCCTTACTGGATTCTAAACCAACAAAACTGCTATTGTGTGTGCTGTTTGTTCCTGGTGAGAAGGCCAGATCTTCCTGCCTCCTCTGCTCTGTGGCTGGGAAGACTTCAGTGCTGCTAGGACCCCTGAGAACCTGTGCTGTGACCACTGCGCCCAGCACCTAGGAAGAGTGAGTGAGTCCACCGAGTCCCTGAAGAGAAGGTTGGCTCCCTGTCGGTGGAGCCGTGCCCAGAAAAGAGGTGTTTGGTGAAGGCTTGCCAAGTGGAGGGACGGAGGGATAGAGGAATGGAGGGATGGATGAAGGGATGGCTAGAGGGATGGATGGAGGGATGGGTGGAGGAGTGGAGGGGTAGAGGGATGGAGGACGGAGGGATGGGTGATGGGATGGAGGGATGATAGAGGGGTGGAGGGATGGAGGGATTGATGGAAGGATGGAGGGATTGATGGGTGGTGGGA